TCACTAAGATGAAGTCACAATTACAGGATATAGAAGACAAAAATATCATAGAAAGTATCAACAAGACAAAAAGCTGGTTCTTTGAAAGGATAAATAAGGTTGACAGGTCAGATTGACTAAGAAAAAGAGAGAGAATGTCCAAATAAACATAATAATAAATAAAAAAGGCAAAGTCACAACTGGCCCTGAAGAAATTAAAAAGATTTTCAGAGATTACTATGACCATCTTTATTCAAAAAAACTAGAAAATCTAAATGAAATTAAGGATTTTCTGGCATCATATACTCTCCCATGGTTGAAATTTTTTTTAAAAATTGAAACTATAAACAACCCAGTAACTATTCAGGAAATTGACTCAGTCGTTAAAAAAATAAAAATAAAAAACTTCCTACCAAAAAAAAAGTCCTGGACCAGATGGCTTCCCAGTTGAATTTTGCAAAACATACAAGAAGAAGCTAATACCAATCTTATTGCAAGTATTCCAGGCAATCTAGAAAAATAGAATTCTCCCTAACTCATCTTATGAAGCTAATAACATACTGATACCCAAGCCTGATAAAGACCCAACAAGGAAAGGGAATTGCAGGCCAATTTTCTTGATGGACATTCTAGCAAATTGTATCCAAAAACACATCTCAAGAATCATCCGCCATGACCACATGGACTTCATTCCTGGGTTGCAAGACTGGTTCAGCATTCACAAGGCCATAAATGTAATTCAGGACATTAACAGATGTAAAACCAAGAACAACATGATTATCTCATTAGACACAAAAAAAGCATTCAACAAAATCCAGTACCCCTTCTTGATAAAAAACCCACCACACCTAAGCATAGAAGATAGAAGGAATATTCTTCAAAACAGTGAGAGCCATCTATGATAATCCCACAGCCAACATTCTACTCAATGAGCAGAAACTGGAAGAATTTCCCCCTAAGAACTGGAACAAGGCAAGGATGCCCATCTCATCCTTCCTATTCAACATAATGCTGGAAAACCTAACCAGAGCAATCAGGCAAGAGAAGGAAATCTGGTATATCCACATAGGAAAAGAGGAAGTTAAGCTATCCTTCTTTGTGGACAATATGATTCTATACCTAGAGACCCTAGGTAGTCTGTCAAAAGCCTCCTTGAATTGTACCCCATATCTTTAAATTTTTAAAAAAAAATTTTGAGGGAAAAAAGCCTCCTTTCACTGATAAATCACTAAGTATGGTGGTCTTCAACTCCATGTTTTAATTTTATTTCATTATAGAGAAGGCCACTTCTCTTTAATGGATCTGAATTTAAAGGCATCTAAGAGAGAGCCCTCACCATGAGCTACAGTCAAATGCCTGCAAGACTTATGCCAGCAAGTTTTGAGTAGCAAGTAGCAGGAGATGAGTAACTGCAAACTTCTTAGACACTCCTAAAATAACTCTTAGTAGCAGCCTATCTCTAATTACAGTACCATTTTCACTGGGAATAGCACAGTGATTTTTCAGAAAATGTTCAACCATTTTCCTTGGAAAAACCTGAACTTGACATACTATTACGTGCTTATAGACAATCTTTCTAATTAAAGAAAGGTGTAGCTCTCACTGAAGGTCTTTGCCTAATTCTTGTATTACTGGTTCTCTCTTGGAACAAAATATGACGTGAGAGTAAGTTCAATCAGACCCACTTTCTAGGTTTGAGGTTGCTAGCAGATTCCTTGGCAGCACATACCCAAGAGATTCACTGAACTTTCAAAATGACCCATCAACCCAGCCCACTTCCCCACCCATACTCATATCCAGCTGGACTCGGGGGCAAATACTTAGTAGAGGACTGTAAATCCTGAGTTTATCATAATCATTACATCTTCTATTAGTATAACTTTTTTCTTTTCATTGGATCTTTATGTATTTCTTCTCTTTTGGTCCTGTCAGAAGAAGAAGGCAAGAACCGTACAAATTCATACAAGGGCGCTCCTTCATTCATGCTAACCAGATACTCCCCTTCCCCCTCAAAAAAACTTCAAAGCTCACACATAGAGTCACATACACTTGGCATGTTTCAGCCATGCTCATAGATCCACACTGAGTAGAAATAAATATGTAGAGAGTGGAAATAAATCTTCTTACGCTTGACTGAGAGTCCAGAAATCTGTGTTATTTTCCCAACTGTAGTTCTTAAATATATGATCCTATACTAGTGATACCCTCTATCCCAAACCAGGTATTAATTTTAACATCTGTCCTAAATCTTTGCTGTTCAATGCAGTGGCCACATCCACATGCAACTATGCTATTGAGTACCTGAAATGTGGCTAGTGTAATTAAGGGACAGAATTTATTTCATTTTATTTCTTTTACATTTAAGTTTAAGTAACCATGTGTGACTAGTGGCTAACACATGGCTAGAGGTAACAGCACAGAAAAATATAGGGAGTAATTTACTTAGATGATGTGTACCATCTCTCCTAGGTAGTCTACGATATTCTGTTCAACAGGGATCATTGAAACTCATTCAGCATTCTCTGTTAGGGTGCCCTTCCCTCACTACAAATGACAACCCAAGGTTGCTTTATACCCACAGGGTAGGCCTGGAACAGGAAAAGGGAAAGTGCTGAGTACCATATTTTCATAACTACACTGATTTTGTTCACTGTCTTCATTTTCCATATGCTGGAACTAAAATATGAATTACAGCTATTCCAGTCTCTGTGAATGAGTGCATATGTGTATATTTAACTAGACTATAGATATAATAACACTTTTTATTCACCCTTCCAAAATAGTATTAGTATTGACTGTGAAACAATTTTATTCTTGGAGTAAAAAACATGACTCATTTTGATTTTGTGGTAAAATGAATGCATCTTGAGGAAGCCTCTTTCTCTCTGGCTTCAGTTTCCTCATATATAATATGGGAAAATTTGACTAGATTTACTTACTCAACTAACCAAACAAGGCATTGAGATAACATCTGAAGACACAATAATGAATATATCTGATATCAACTATTCTATTTAATATAAAGTGTAAACAAGATGATTTTTTCATAACCCCTTTCAACCATGATACTATGTAAGCTATGAAGTCTGTGACTCATGTACGAATGCTGTGTGACTGAAAATTCCTTAACCTTCTACCCAAGTCCTAGTTCATTAAGGCAGATTCCCCATCCAACTACATGTTATCCTCCCCCTCCTTCCCCATTCCCTATTTGGTCTTCTCAACCCCAATAAGAAAGTAAGAACTGAAAGAGTCTGGAAAAATGAGCAAGAGTGGAGAGATGGCAGCAGAGAGATATCATTCAGGCACATCAGTCTTTCCTAAAATGAAAGAAAAATGTGAGGTTAGACATAAAATAAAGATTGATGGAGAGAGAAAAGATGAAGAGGTGAGAAAAGGAAACAAGTAATCTGCTGTCAGTTATAGCAAATGTGGTATAAATTGATGTAGCTATGCAAGGCAAAGACCTATTTGGGGATGTGTGGAGCATTGCCCTTCTTATAACTAGGGAACCATGTAACAGCTAACGAAGGAAACAAGTAGAGGGATACACAGGAGAACAATAGGGTACACCCTCTCTGCCATGGTTATAGTGGTGCCTTCTTCTAGTCTCTTTCTATTTTCTTCATTTATTTTAGTAGGAATTACCCTTCTACCAAAACGGAAAATGGCTATAACATTTCAGACTGGAGGGGAAGTGATAATTCACTTCTCTCCCTTATAAATTTTCCCATAGATGTCTGGAGATTCAAACCCAGTTGAAGAAACACTGGTTAGAATGTCAGTTTAGTTAATAAAACTCAAGGGTACCTAATCTCAAATCAGGTGAAATAAAGACCAAAGTAAGGCCCAAACTTTACCTGTGCAATGACAATTTGTATACCTAACCCTGAATTGTACCCCACATCTTTAAAATAAAAAAAATTTTTAAAAACTCTCCAGGAAAAGATTAGAAAGTTTAGTCTTGAATCCAAACATTAACTTCTCTAATGCAGTTGGATAGCCTTTTCCCCCAACTGTCACTACCACAACCAATAATTCTGTGAAAAGACATAAAAACTCCAAGGGTATTAGAATCCTGGTCCCAGATTGACTGTGAGGTAATTCTGGTACTTAAAAATGCAAAGTTTGAGTAAATGACCTTGTTCCTGCAGCAGGTAGCTGTTTAGAAGCCTATTGCTAGATTCACATTTTACAAGTGCATGAAACTAGTTATTAACTATGGTTCCATGTGTATAAAGTATTAAAATCAACATATTTATGTCCATCCCCATATAGATCCTTCTTAATATAACTCAATACAACTGATATAGCCAGTTCACATCAGAGTCTTATCCATTTGGTTTGTAATATCAAGGTGCTGCCCCAGGTTCCAATAAGCACATACCAGACTGCTATGCCCCTATTCTCCAGAAGCCAGACTGAGCATCCCACAACGCTAACCTTAGAGCCTAGCCGAGAGCACTTACCTTGTTGCCAGATTCCTAACATGGCCACTGATAGCAAGCCAAATTATTCCAGATCATTTTCAGTAAGACAGAGGAAAAAACACTTTTAATTCAATGGAGGCAATTTATTGTTGTGGGGATTTCAGGAAACCAAGGCTAAAAATGCATCAGAGAGGAAAAGACTTTTTAGAATGTGGAAAGTGTCATAAAGGGGAGAGAGAGAGAGAGAGAGAGAGAAACAGAGAGATAAAATTTATCTTTCTTAAGATCAAGTTTCATGTAATGTCATTTATGTTAACATATACTGGTATGATTATTTTTTTCCTTGCCTACAAATGGTCTAACCACCCTCTACCTCCACCCCATCATAAAAATCAGAGAAAACTAAGCTAGACAGTGAACACTACTCCCTGCTTCCCATCTCAGAGCAGCTGAATAATTTTCTCAGAATTCTATTGCTGGAGCTAGAAATAAAAGCTCATTTCTGCACACAACAGCATTCTCTCTCCCTTTCTGTTGTCTTTTCCCCTCCTCCACTTTGCACCAGGAAAGCCAAACTCTGGGCGTTCCTTAAACAGTTAGAAGACTAATCCGAAAGAGGAAGAAGTATCTGTATATATTGGCTAGCAAATGTGCCCTGCCCTCTTGCCTCTTGAAATAGCAATAGCACAACTTTTCAAAGAAGTTTGCCTAAGGAGCAGCCGCTCTGTGAATGACGTGCACTTTTAGGACCCTCCAGGGTATCCATATTTACCAACGAAGATTAGCTCTCCAAGGGACTGGTGGATCGAACTTACTGAAGTCTTGGAGCTTACTTCTAAGAGCAAATGCAAAAGGACCCTAAACTGTGAACCTCGCAGTTAGCAGGTAAGGAGATTTGGCATTTCAGTGCTAGGAACAAAACAGTATGTAGTAAAAATCTGCTGATGGTAGATTTTATCAAATTCTCAGGACTTTGGAGATAACAAATCTGCTTTGCCTGCTTTAAATATGTCTGCTAGCATGAATTCTTTCAGCTTTATTTATTAGTCATATATTTGATCATCTAATCAGCCTGTCAACAAATATTGCTCAGTACTTCTGCTAGGGTTCAGTGTGGCAAGATTCAGGGGGGGCACTCCTCAACCCTCTAGCTCTTTACAATGAAATCAATGTAAAGAAATATAAGATATATTTTAAAATCCTATTTTAAGGGCTCAATGGAGTTTCTCTAATGTAGTGGCAATTTCCTTCAATATGGAAAAATATGTATAGAGACTGCTAAAGGTAAACCAATGAAGAGTAACATTTTCACAAGTTAGTTTCACATTCATTATCCCTTGAACCTCTCAACATCCTATAATTTACAAAGGGTAAGTGTTACTGTCTCCATTTTACAAATGAGGAAATAGAATCAGAAAGGTTAAAAAGTTTTCTTGAAACACACCATGCAACTAGAAATTGATGAGTTCTGACCAGAGACTGCAAAGATAAAACTCTCTCAACTATAAATGAATATATAGGAAATCGCATGATCTACTTAGTAACTTAGATATATCTGGCATAGACCAGGTTTACACAGAGCCAACAATGTATACATTTGAATCAAAATCTTTGGCCAGGAACATTTTTCTACTTAGCAGCAAAAAAACTGTTTTCAAGGGTAAACAAATGGATTGATGGGCTCCACATATTGAATTAAGTGATTCTGTCTTTTGGTATTCTGATTATTTTGAAACCTAGAGAGAAGTCATGGCATCATTTATCTAGCAGGCGATTATTTTCAAAGGAACAGTAACTAAACTCAAATTTGTGTATTATTTAAAATATAAATATAGATTTGAGATATATATCTATAAATATATTATATATACAATGCGTTATAAAATACGATAGACTACACTGTATTTTAAATATATTAGTAAAATGTGTTTCTAGACAATTTTAAGTTTATATTATCTATTGCAACAAGTCTTAATCACTCAAAAATATTTTCTGGTTGGGTACAGTGCCTCAGACCTATAATCCCAGCAGGCAAAGATGGGAAGATGGCTTGAACCCAGGAGTTTGAGACCATCTAGGCAACACAGCAAGACCTCATCTTTACAAAAATAAAAATATTTTTTTTAAAAATAAATATTTTCTGTTGTCTTACTATTAATGGCTCAATTATAACTAAAAGCCACCTATTTTTACATAATAGACAACTTCAAATACTTATTTACATTCAACCCCAAAATAAAAAAATCTGCTTCATAGTTGCACTGAATATTGACTACACTAGCCAATCAGTTCCTCCAGATGAAATAAGTCAGCCTGTGAGCCAGTGAGCTTAAATATTATGATAAGTTAAAGAGAGCTTGCAGACTGCATTTAGACTGAATCTAGAATGTTAGTGTCTTCCTAACCCAGATCATAAATTCTCATTTTCCACTAGCCTATCCCTCATACCCTTAATCAAAATTTTGATGAATTTAAGAGCTATTTATCTATGATGAAAGCAAGATTCTTACACAGTACAAAAAATTCTAAATTTGCCTTTGCAGCATCATTGGCTGATAATAAGGAAGACTAAAGAGAAAGCACCGATTCCTAAGGTACATACTCAACCTTGTGAATTTGATATCACAAAAGGTAACTCTTAATCTCCCAAGTAATATTGCCCTATATGCACTTTTAGTTTGATCCAGTTTGTTATTTCTCATGCTTCTATCTAAATATCTAAATTTGTTGTTACTCAGTTAAACAAGTATTGATCAAGCTCAATACAGTATGTAGCACAAAGTTAGGTAAGCTGCCTGCCCTTGGGGAGCTTATAGTGTTTGTGGAGATACAAGACCAACAGCATGTAAGATTATGAGATAGTAAGCCAATGTCATTTTCTTAATGGCAAAGGAGTTCAGAGAAGAAAGCAGTGCACTGGGTTGAATGGAGAAGGTTTCACAGAGGATAAAAAATATAGGCTTAAAAGAATATCTAGAATTTGGGACCATGCTGGACAAACTTGCTATGCTATGCATATAATAAATAGTCCATACAGCATGTATTGCTTGAATTCTATTTTTGTCACAGTAATGATGTCAGAAATATACTGTGTCTGGAGTGAGCTTAGCACCTGCAGGTTAAATTAAGAAGCCTGGTCTGACTAGGGTAAAGGAATTGAGTTGGAGAGTAGTGTATAACAGATCTGAATAAAAATTTAAGGCCAGATTATTAGACGTTGAATTTCAGGCACTTTCTGAGGTGACACTATTAGCAAACTATGAATAAATGAGAACATAATGGAAAACAATCTGAGTAGATAAATCTGACAGAACTTTATATTTATGTCAGGTTTATATTTGGGGAAAACTAAAGATAAAGGAATCATTTAAAGGGTGGAAGTTAATGAAACTCTATGCTAGGCTAATGACAGTAAAAATGAACTGGAAAGGAACTCAATATATATTTAAAAATAAAAATAGATGTAGGTTATATGTTTAGATGCAGGCAACATAGGAGAGGAATAAGTCAGAGATGTCTCTAATTTTGAACTTGTGGAATCTGGGCACTAGTGTTACTACTATGCATAGAAATAGATAACGTGGGGTGGAAATGGCTGAGTTTGAGGCGATGGCAAGAGTTCCAAGGAAATATCTGATAGTTGGAAAACAATGGCCCTGAATGTGAGTGACAAATAAGAGATAAAAACCAAAGTTAAATCTGGAGAATATAATAGCCAAAGCCATAAAAATGCCTTAGCTTAGAGAAAGCAACTCAAGGACTGGAACTTGTGCAGTACCTACATTTTAGTGCAAGAGAAAAAAGAGGGGCCCAAAGAAGAGCAAGCCATGGAAATCCTTCTTCTCCCCAGATGAGTCTTGAGGGAAGATACTTGGTTATTTATTTTGTAAACTTCCCCGCCCAATAATATCTACTATAGTGCCTCAGACATAACATGACTACTCAATAAATGTTAAATTTTCATAACATAAGCAGCATGAATAATTTTTTTTACTTCAAATTGTCTTCCAGCTTGAACTCTGTTTATAAATTCTGTACAAATTAACAGTAACTGCTCTAACCTATTCTGCTGCATGAATTTCAATGGGAGGAAAATTGGGCCTGAATAACCGGGAATCCATCCTTTCTTTAATATCTAATTAGCAGTGTATTCTCTGGCAAATTACTGATCATCAGTATTACTTGGGTCCTTCTTGTACCAAATGCAGTAATGAGCTGACAGGCATTTTTTTTAATCTGTTAAAATAATAAATATGAAAGCAATTTGAAAATACAAACCACCGTCCAAAGGGTTTGGTTTAAAGTTCATTCATTCCAGGAGGACAAAGCATATAACAAAACTGATTACATATGGAAGAAGCAAAACCAGCTACTTTCTCCTCCCTATACTACACCTCTAGGCCAGGGGCATCACTCTAAGTCTCAGAAATCTCAACCTACTCTTAGGACCTGTCAGGAAGATCCAGCCCTCTTGCTGCCACTAATCCTACAATACTTGTGCATACCTTAATGTGAATTCTGAAAGGAACAAAATATTCAAGAGTAGTATTTAAGAAGTACTTCTGTGAATATACTATCCACCTTTTTCACTACCTACTACGTTCACTAAGCTCAGTGATTCTTAGAATTAAATACTAATGATCAAAATAGTTTTTTTACACCAAGTTCTGAATATAATACAATAATCCACTACTTTGTCATAAAGCCACTTGTTCCTAGAGAACAACTATCTTGCTTCCAAGATCCAGACATCTAAATTCCAAGAAGTTAGAGCCAGGCCTTAGAATCATCCAGGAGCAATGACCTCAGAGCTTCAGGGGATTCCAAATTGCTGGTAATTAGGTAGAGACCTATACAGCTATCCCTAGAAGAATGTAAGCCCTCTTTGTAGCGTTTTATAAAAAGTTCAGAAGTACATAGGTTGTCTGTAACATATTTTTGCCAATTAAACTAGGGGTGGAAGTATCTCCTATTGTACACCCACACCTACACTCATGTACTCCTCAAAATATCTATTGCCTTTTTGTGATTTGAATTTCCCATCAAATCTGGTCTTGTGCACCATTTTAGTCTGATTACACAGGATAAAAATATTGTGGCACAGTACAATGCAAGGGGATACGTTGTGTCATTAGCTCTGAAAGTCACAACCTAAGGTCCCTTTGGGATTGTGTGTGGATTTGAACTGTTTGACCACAGAGTGGCCTGATTTGATATGATGTTATCCCCTTAAGGAGAAGTTACTGAAGAAGCAATACCTGAGAGTTGTCAGCAATAGATTATCATCTCCCCTGTAGTTTTAAATATCAGTGAGAATACTGCTAAGCATATCCCTGGAAATACCAAGTAAGAAAACTACTTATTGTAATTATAGGGCTACAGTGATGACAAAAGGATCTTTTTTCATCCTTCCTCATGATCTTTTATTATCATGGAGGAAGACCAGTGGGATCATTAATACAAGTCTAGTGATTTGTAGATTAAATCTCCATAAGGGATGGATAGCATTGCTCCAGTCAATCAATAACCAATGACTCAATAAACATTTATTAAATGTTTTCTCTGTGCAAAACACTGTGATAGGCTAGACTTTGGAGTTACAGAGCTAAAGGGAAAAAATGTTAGATTTTTTTCTCCTGCCCTAGAAGTGTTCACAATCTACCTAGGGAGACAAAATTCCTAAGTTGCATGTCAAAAAATGCAACTTAAAGTAGTGCAATAATGATTGCCATATTATTGGTACATATAATAAACAGCATATAAGTTCGAAAAGAAAGATAAGTGTGGGATGAGGTAGTCAAAGTAGGTGTCAGAAAGTAAGACCGGAACTAAGCCTAGTATGAGTAGAAAAGAGAATAATAAAAATTTACATTTGTATAGAGCTT